CGCGCAAACGCGTTCGTACACCGGCAACATAGAGCAGTTCTACACTTATGCGGTGGCATTCACGTTGGGCTCACAAAGCTCTCGCTTTCCAACAAAGGCAGTTTTTTTGACAGATGTGTTTTTGAAAAAGAGGCGGAAAACAACAGCATTTTAATCGAGATGCGGAAAAACGACCCCGCAGGTTCCAGGAAATTGTATTTTTCCCATGGCCACGAAAGCGAAGCTTCAAACCCATTTCTCAATCAGAGAAGGCTACGCGAAGCGATTGCCTCATGAAAGTCTCTCGCGAAAAGAACCTCTCTCTCTGTGACGGCTTCCTGCGAAACCTGGGCTTAGAAACTGAACAGGTTGCCTCAGTGGCTCTTGTTTGCCTCCAGTTCCAGCCCATCAGGATATGAGTCATCAGTGCCCTTGTGTGGACCTCTCAAATCACCGAAAAACATTGCACGATTTTCACAGACCGATTTTGGTGTGTTTGTGGGGGTGGTGTGGCTGGGGGCTCCTAGGAACGGTTATCAATAACGTAAAGGAAAAACCCCAAAGCCCAAGACAAGGAATCGCATGTGAGTCTCAAGTCACCTCTGGTTGGGAGTTCCTGCCAAGCATTTTTCCCCAAAGCAGCAACACCTATTGCTCTTGGAGACTTGCTTTTTGGCTTGGGAATGACTCCATCATCATTGCAACTTTGTGGTCCTGAGCGTGGTCCATTGCTCAGTCACCTTGGCCGGCAAAACACGTGTCAAAGCATCCCCTTTTCGTTTGGGGGGGGGTAGGGATGGTCATCAACCTTTTGGAGGGATCTCAGAACAACATTGCAAATCTACCAACCTACGGGCAAATTCGATCATGCAGAAAAACCAAGTGTGTGTGTGTGTGTGTTGGGGGGCACCCGAATTTTCAGAAGGGCTGCGGGGGAAAGGAGAAGGAACGCACCAAGTTGTGGGTCTCCAAAACACACCCATAACTCATCCCATCGCCGGAGGCAAGTCCTTTCACCCTCACCTGGCCTCCACGCCGCCGTTGGCCTCAGCAATTGGAGCCGAAGGGAGTCTTTGCGCAAAATGCAGCTGTGTGAAAGTAGACGGGCTTGTGTTGTTTTGGATACCACTGTTTGAGGCACCTTGAAAACAAACACGAACGGACACCAACCACCTGGTTGTTTCGATGGGACAGGGTGCCATTTGCTTTCGTGGTGTGTATTATTGGAGCTCACACGTAGAGGTCCCGACAAATTCCTTAGATCCGCTTCGCGCCAGGCGGTTGTATTCCCAGGGCTTCATCCCTGGCGCGCATTTCTGGACATCGTCAAACCCCAAGGGAGTCTCAGACCAGGAGACAGGGCTTGTTGAGGAACCATTTAGCTTCTTTGGGCTGGACAGCTGGCACTATTCTGGGTAAAACAAAGGAGGTCTGACTCAGTTTTACTGCAACAACTGGCCAGGGCGTCCTTCCAGCGACCAACACATAGTGCCACAATCCTCAAATCAAAACCAGGCTGCGCTCATAAGCCATGTGCGATGCGCAGGAAAATATAAAAAGGCAGCCCATAAACCTGTTCATGTTCGCTTCACCGAATAGCAGGTGGTTGTGGGGTTCAGATGACGGGTCATGTTTAGCGTGCATCCTTGCATCACTGTCTCATGGTCTTACTGAAGCCCTGTCAGGTGTCCCGTGATTCAAAATACAACGAGCTCACCCACGAAGGTTCGTTTTAGGGGGTTCCGTATTCTAGGTTTGTGAGATGTAATATGGCGGGGATCTCGCATTTCAGTCCACTCAGCCAACTTGCCCCCAGCCGTGGGGGTGCAACTTGTACTGCCATGAGCAGCTTGTCGGAACATGGACTTTTGGAGTTGGGAATTTAGAGAATCACCCTGTTGAACCATAATGTTGGGTGGCTGTAACTGCCTGGGAAAAACAATTTGGCTTAAACCTAGGCAGTCAATCAGTAGACATACAGCTAGGCGAAAGCAGATGGCATTAACTCAATTTGTGGGTTTGTCATCCTCTTCACATGCGGACATAAAGGGAATGCTGTGCATGGACAACATCTGCTTCGCACCAGTTGGTAGGTGGTTAATCCCAGCATTCAAATCGGGTTTCATCCATCGCTGGTGCAAGGTCTTTGCTCAAGCACAGCATGTTCAACACAAACGGAGCACTGTCCTGAGTCCCATCGAAGGAACCAAACATGATTTGCCAAAGAGCCCAAAGCCCAAGCGGATATGAATTTCAATATTGACGCCTACTTTCTCAAGTGAAGCCCCGGGAAGCAGACTTCTTGCGCCTAGGTTCGGTCTGGCTCCGCGAGCTGTCAGCGTGAATGAAGGCCCTGCAAACAGTTTGGGTGTTGCAAAGCGTTTGGCGCAAATCAAAGAGTTGGGTTGCAGGCGAATGCAGGCAAATCTAGGAAGTCATGTGCTGTCTAGTTGTGTTGTTTTCTGGACATGCAGTTGAACTCTCTGCCATCATTTCTTACCCTTCGACGAAGGGAACACCAAAGGAGAGCTATGGTTTTTCCCGAAAGCATTGCGAAGCTTCCAATTAAATCGCCATGCTTATCGCACAGCCAAGTAGCACACTGAGATTGCAGAGAGCACATGGAGCAAGCAGCACCACATGCAGAGCAAGAAGCACAAGAGCGCGAACAGAGCAAGGAGCAGGAGACCACACGAAGACTGAGAGCAACTAGCAAGAAGCACGAGACCGCGCGCAGCAAATTGCACGACAGAAACCGCGCAGCAAATCGCACAAGCGACCTTGCGCTAGAAATCTCGAACGAGAAAGCGCGCACAAGCATCTTCGCGAGAAATGTGCACCCGAAACGTGACTTTCTTTGCTTACAAGGCAGCGCAGGACCAAACCCACTCTGTGAAAAGCATACCCGGTGCGGGGATCGGCACTGCAGACTTTTCCATTTTTAACATGCCCGCGCCCCTTGGCGGTGACTGGCGTGGTCGATGTGTCAAGGAAATCTTCTGGAGGGATATGCGAAACTGCGGCTTTTGCAACTTTTTCGTGGTCCATGTCCAAAAACCGGGGACTTTTGCTACTTTTGACATGTATTGTGGGCCTTTGTACCATTTTTTGCGCAAAATCGACCACTTGAGGAATCGGCATGGTCGCTGTGCAAAAATTGTGGACGCTGGCTTTTTCACATGCCCGCGCGCCTCTTTGTGGGGACGTGTTGTTTTGCGCGCTCGCGACGCGGGATAGGCGTGGTCAATGTTGAAAAGTATATGTGTGGTGGCAAACTGGTCTTTGGAAGTTGTCTCGTGCTTGGCGCCCTAAAGGCCACAGGCTCGATCCCCGACCCCGTCCGGCTTCGCCTTCCAAAGTGCAGGTTTAGTGTGCGAAGTGCGCTCCCGCAACTCCAGCTCGACATTGCAACTTGTTGGCGCCAAAGTAGCACATGACGCGCGCTCCCATCCCGTGAAGGGTGCAATTCTTGGGCGGCCTACAAAAACTAGTTTGTCAGCAGGTCAGAGATTGAGTGACCCTTGTTTCTACCGGTCACAGACACACGCACACACAGAACACAGCCGTTTACAAAGTTTCTGGATAAAAACTCATTCACCTGACTGCATGCTGAAGAGGCCTTAGTTGTGGGGCTTATGGCGCATATCACGCGTGCAAAAGATCGAACCACTTGCCTGGCACCTATGCAAACCCTATCCCCTTCGACTTTGAGAAGCCGATTCAAGCCGATCTCCAAGCTATTTGCAGCTGGCCAAATTTCCACCCGGAACGGAAGCAATGATTTTATACGTAGTTTAGGGTGGAAATTTGGCCCGCTGCAAATGGCTTGGGCAGAGGTGGAAGTGGGTCACGCAAAGACCTAATCTTTGGTTCGAAACTTTTGTCCGGAACAAGTGCTTGGCCATTTGGCACCAAGATTGCTGTGGATGAACAAGATCCTGCACCAGCTGACCAGTTTGTAGGTAGGTTATCTTAGGTTATCCAAGTTTTGATCGTACGATGTCCTCCATCCCAACTGCAAGATGCTTCCCATCCACAGTTTGGGAGTATATTTCATCCCTTGCTGTCCGCAGGTGGAGGCCATGTGGGAGGGCCCGCGCCTCGGTGACCGGAGGCTTGAGAGGAAGCGTCAGAGGGGCGAGCCTGGTGGGCTAGAGCTGGGGGGGTCTCATGTTTGCTTCTTTCAGGCCCCGGCCATTTCCCTTCACACCAGCATAGCAAACTCACGGATTCGGCGGCAGAATCACTATGATCTAGGTACTTTACTCGGAGGATTCCTGAATTTAGGATGTGGAAGAAATGTCAAATTTGCCGAAGCATTGGATGTCTGCAATTAGGAACTCAACAAACCTGGTGAACTTCTTGTCGCTGATGTCACGTCATCCAAGTAGGAAGCATGGGTATGTGTCAAAATAAGGGGGACCCATAAAAAGAGTGGTGTCCCTTTGGTTTCTCTTTCAATCAACCCATCTACCCCCAACAAGAAACAATCACACACACACAGATATGCTGCATACTTTTCAAATGCTGTCTCCTCGAAGGCACCACAAAGGGGATGGATGTTTGTTTGATGCTTCCAGAACCCATGTCTTCACCCGGTAGCCTTTGGCTGCGACTCCGAGATATGTGATCAACGACACCCTCTCCATCGGGAGCTTGCAGGCGAGATCGCAATGGTGAACGCTGGAGAGTTGAAGCTGCTCAGAGCCGAATCGAAATGCGTGGATTCTCATGGACCCGGGCAGGTAGTTAAGCTTTGCTTGGTTGGGCTTGGCTTGCTTCTTCCTTGCTCTCTCGCTCTCGCTCTCTCTCTCTCTTTCTCTCTTTCTGTCTCTCTCTCTCTCTCTCTCTTTGTGTTGCACTTGGTTTGTGGTTCTGGCGCAGCTTGCGGTTCGAAGAACATCCAGCCAGCAGGCGCACGCACCGACACAAGTCACGCCGCAGATCCCAGAAATAGAAGGAGCACCAACAGATCCAGCGAGCCGCTTTCGGCCTCGGTCTGCCACAGCTCTTTTGAAGCCATGGCAGAAGCGGCTGCAGACTTAGTCCCACGCAAGAGGAGTGATTTTGGAACAAGCCCGTATCCAGAGTCAGACAGGACCTCGCTGCAAGGCTTGGGCAATGGTTTGACGTTAGATGTCCATGCTTGGCCCCCATGCCATTTCAGTACATAGCAACAGTCCTCGATCGAAAGCAGACTCTACCATCTTTGAACGATGTCAAAACAACGTCGCCCGAGCCAGAGAGCAATCCTTAGGCTCCTTCTCAGACCGAGCAGAACGCGCTGACATCTGATGGCTACTATGATCCTGCTCGCATTGAGGCTGGATGCGACCTTTTTCCTAGTGGTTAGTTCTGGGCCCACTCGGAACGGGAGCCATTGCAGCCGTCGGAAGTACCAGCGGATTGCGGTCATTTGTGTCACTTGCCAGGGTGTCCTGCGACACCAACTTGCTGGGGCCTCAACGCAGGATGACAAGGAGTTTGCGAATGTCCAAAAATGAGTGCATGGTTTCCTTTGTTCGCGGTCAACATCCCACAATTGGGGATCCTTTTCCCATTGTTTTGGTAGTTACGCCCGACGGGGGGGCGGGGGGAAGGGCGCTTTTGGCCTGAGGCATTTATGGAGGAAAGCGGGAGTGCTTGGCTCGGGTTTCCCAGCGCTGAGGCGGAGCTCTATGGCATGATCACCGCCTACAACAAGCGCCTGGGTTTTCTTCTGGTTCTATTGAATCAAGTTCAACAAAAAGGTAACCTCGCCAGACTCCACTAGTTTGTTTTTGCCCTTGTGCTCTCTTGTGTTTCCCTGAAATTACCTTCCCAGCAACAAAGCACACATTTTGCAGGGGTCCAGCAACAAGGATTCGTTCATTTGGGAATATGTCAAACTAAGTGCTCCAAAAGAAATGAGTTTCCTTTAACGGCAACCTGAAAAGGGGTATTCTCAAGACTGGCAGCTAAACATTTATTGGATGTCATTTATTGCACCACGGACAGGTCGATTTCCTTTCGGATTCCTCAGCAGCCCCCCCCCCCCCCACGTCGTCCACGCCCCTTTTGCTCTGGAAAAGGCAATGACCAAAATATGATTCACGTCAACTTGGTGCCACCATTTGAGAGTGGGCCATCATGAAAGGTCCTTGGCAGCCGCCAACCTTCATAGGGGCCGCAAGACCCAATTGAACCACGATCCTGGGAAACTATATGTGTGCTTGTTTCGCTCTTTATATCACTCATCCGTTCCTTGATGTTTCGCTTTAAACCCACTTCTTCAAAATGGTACCGTTTCATTTGGTTTCCCTATTCTTCCCTTTCAAAAGGCAGGCCCCAAGACGCTCCGTTTGGCTCGGAGCTCCGGGCCATGTTTGGCTTGCGCTTCCGCGTTTGAAGCGAGGAAGACGGTGGACTTCTGCACGCACCACTACGAGGTCTGCAAGCAGGCGCAGATGGAGAACCACGAGCTCCGCGCCAGGCGCGTGGTGCCGGCGCCGGCGTGGGATTTCGATGTCCCGCAAGACTATCGCTGGGTCGGTTGGCCGTTTTTTTTGGAGGGTACCCCCCTTTGGTTGTGGCTTTCAAGGGAAAGCAACAACAGGAACATAGCCATTTTCGGGGTCCCCTAAAAAAGACACAGCTGGATAAACATGGGATCCGTCCCAAGGTTTGAGGGAGGGCATTCAGGAAGCAGAAGACCTGGTTGACTTGGCGGGGTGGCCCATTTAAGAGGGAATCTGGATCACTTGTTGGGGACACCTAATAATCCACATATAATCCACAGGTTGATTCATCGGGTTTCGACACATTGGTGTGAGGATGGATTTAGGGGTGGTTTATGGCGGGTTTAGGCTTGGCTTAGGTTGGTTCAGGGTTGGTTTTGGCTTGGTCTAGGGCGATTGTTGAGCTGCCAAAGAGTTGGTTTTGGGTGGGCGTAGGGATGGTTTAGGGGGTGGGTCTCGTGGTTTATGGTTTGTTTACCGTTGGTTTGGTGATGGTTTAGGGATGGTTTAGGCAACTTTCCTCTAGTGCGTTTTTACGGGGGGCTTCTCAGAATAGGTATCCCAAACTGGTTGGTTCCCTTTTGGTTTTAATGGAATACAGATAAAAGCAAGGTCCAAAGCAAGATCCAACGACAAAAGCAAACAGATAAAACAAATAACAACGACAAAGACACAGTTCTCTATAAACACTGATATCCTAATACGAAAAGCCCATAGTCATGAATAAATACAGGAATTTATACATATGGAGAAAACATTTGAACACACATCAAATAGAAAGGGATTGGTGCGCTTCTTCCTTCGGCCATTGTCGCATATTAAATTTTCAGTTGTAGACATGCGGACTAGAGACATAACTGGAGCAAGAAAAACGATAGAGGAGTCACTTCTCCTCCATCTCTTTCCCAATTGTAAATCGTATTACTAGGCAGGTAGGCAATTAGTAACTGTCAAGCGGTAGATTCTTCACCAGATGTAACTTAGCTAAACTCCCATTTGGTTTGCTGCAGGATGGCAGTCATGAAGAACTCAGTCTCCACGAAGAACAAGAACAACCGGGATGATGCACCGCTGCAGAACCTCATGCCTGCGCCTGAGACACCACTTGGCTTACTTGACCAGTTGTCGCTTCCCTATGTTGACCCCAAAAAGCTCAGTTGTGGCTCTTGTTTAACAATGGTTCCAAAAGGTTAACGTATGTGTTCCACTGGGTCTTTTGAGGAAGTGAGAGTTTGGCAAACTTCCATTTGCTCAAGGTGTTCCATGCAACCTGGGCTTGAACGGATTGTTTGGTGACTGGTATTCTCGGTATCGGCTGGGGAAAAAACAACAACACACAAATAATGTGAAAGCGAAGTCGGGTTTTTCCCGACTTCCAACCAGGCACTTTGGTCAAGCTAATGGCTCCCGGGTACGCAGAGAGGATGAGGTACAGTTGGCGGCCCACGCGTTGCAAGTAGGTAACAAGGAACCCCAGAATTGTGGTTGTTTTTCTTTCTTTCTCCTCAGGGAGTCAATGATGCAGAATGCAGAGTAGCAAAATCATGCTACACCTTCAATGTCCCATACCTGGTGGTTCCTGTGGAATAGGTGTGTTTCCTGGTTGTGGCGAATTTTAAGGAAGTATCCCAATCGAGAGCCAGAATATGTATGAAGACGGGTTGCCCTCTGCTTATGTGGGCCCATGCGAGTTGCAGCTCCATTGTGGGAAATGATTTGCCTTGGGGATCTTGTTTTTTGTGATACCCTTCCCACCAAACGTGACATTTGTGGGAGGGCCAATGTACTCCACAAAGGATCCCGGGTTGGAGTCTCAGTGACAACAAAGGTCAGGAGAAACTCCCATATGGAGGTATGCCACCAACCATTTTTCCTTTGGTGGAAACCATGTATCAAGAATGTGAGCCCCGGGCCCCCCTCTCGTAATCACAAAGGGAATAGGTATGAATGTGTACAGAATGTCCTGATTCCTGGTCACTTCCATGCATTACGGGGTGGGAATCACGAGGGTGCTGGGAGCCGTGTCAAAGCGAAGTCACCGGGGATAATATGTTTCGAATGGGCTTGGCTACGATGGGATAAAACTTGTTTCACGTCCTCTTCTCGAAAGGTTTGCCAATGGGATATGGAACCCGCGGTGTACCGGTGGCTGTCTTTCAGAACAACAGGGATCCCCACCCTAGTCGATAGTTAAAGGGAAAGACAGGCTGACGACCACGCGGTGGTGACAATCATTCCCTGTGATGCCTGAAAATGGTGGACCCCCGTTTGGTTGGTACTTACAAGCAAACAAAAAGAACGTCAGCTATTTTAGTTGATGAATATTTTGGGAACACGCATATGCAAAGGCGGGATCCCTTGCTTCAGTCGACGTTTTCATGTTTGCGAGACACGACTCGAGGTCCAAGCAGCACTTGCAGGCGCTTCCGACTGAGAGAACCATCGGTTCTATTGGAATCTTACCTCTTGGGAAACTTGAAGAAAACGACACGGTTTTGTCTGGAAATGGCAGATTCTGGGGGTGTTTGTTAGGGTGCGTGCAAGGACTCGAAACGTTTCTTGTTTGAGCTCGATTTTGCGCATGTTCCAGCCTGCACCAACAATTATACCCGCAGCGTCCGAAAGGAGCCCATCACAAATATCACCCAAGTTTGGACGAAAAACGGACCAACGGAAAAGATTCCCCCTTCCCCCATTGCACAAACTGGCTCAGGCCCTATGAAGGTTTTAGGAGATCCCAGATTTCTTCCCGTGGATCCCAGTTCCCCTACTGCATTAGGTAACCATCCATGTTCTGTTTGGTTACCCAGTATACGGGGAAATGACATCACTGGGTGTACTTGGAGAATAGCAGAGTTCTGAATGTTCGACTTTGACCTTTCCCAGCTCTTCATGTTTCGCGTTCTTTTGGGACGATCATTCCAGTGGGAAGCGGCCACAACTCAAACTGTTTTGGAGACTGGATAGATGTTGGGCGATTGCCAGGCCAAAGCGACACACAAAATATAAAGGCACCAAACAGGGTTGGGCCATTCCCTTGTTTAACCTTCTTTTGGTTTCTCGTTGAAGGGAACCAGGGTCTGATTGTTTGAAACAGCCCAACTATGGTGCCAAGCCTCGCACAAAGACACTCCCGGAGATCGGCGTGCCTTCCTGGACCCAGAGCCAGCTGTACTCTCACCATCTCACCCATCGTTCCAGGCATCAGTCGCTGAGTCGCTACCCTACCTGGGCTCTGGACAAACCCTAGTCACCCTGAGGCCACCAAGCTGCTGGTGCGCAAGGACTGCGAGGTGCGCAACGCGGCGGTGGAGAACGCGGCGCTCAGGGACCAGTTGGTGCAGACCCAGAGGACCGCTCACTCAAAAAGGGGGGGGGGGCGGTTTTGCAGGTCACCCCCCTTTTTTGTTGTTTTGTTTTAAGGGAAAACCACAATAACCAAAAGCAAAACCGCCATTTTGCGGGTTCGTTTCCTAAGTTTTGGGAGCCATGGATGAATCCTTTGACGGTTCCTATTGCCCTTGCGATTCCCACTCTCCAATTTTTGCATAGAGGGTGCCGAACTTTCAATGGCCCCTCTCCTATTTTATTTCCCTTTGTGGATACAAGGGAAGTCATGCACCTGGGGGTGAAACGAGATCGCCATGCTGCGTGCTTCCATTTTTTCAGGCTTCTGTTTCTTGGTTTTGAAGGATTTGCAGATGCTCAACCCCTGGTTAATTTATAGTGGGTGTCCCATCTTTGGACGCTGGATCAGTCTCGGGGCAGGCGGGCAGGCTTGGGCAAATTGGTTTATTCAACCAGTCTTTTTGGCCCCCTTCGAAGGGAGCCCGACCCTGCTCAGTACTGCCGGCCTTGCAAGAGGCTGGTCCATCCATCTGCCCGAATAACAAGATTTGCCCAGATGCTCGTACTTCCGCTCGAGGTTTTTGAGAACTCCGAAGAGCCAATTACCAGGGCTCGGAAGACAGTTTGGCCGCCAGGGTTGGGCCCAAGAGCCCTCCTCTCTTCCAGTTGAGCGATTTGATCGTCAGGATTTTCTTCCAGCACACCTGGCAATGCCCACCAGCTTGTTGTTGTGGGTTGTTTCACGTCGGCACCTCAGGGAACCCCGTTTGGGGTTCCTTGTCCGCCAGCTGTTCGCTTGACCAAAATGGGGGCCCCATGGCTCCGCCCCATGGACCATGGTGGACCTCCCGCCCGAGGGGTTAAAACAGACCATAGTCGGCCATGTTTAGCACAAAAGGGCCCCACAATTGATTGTTTCCCCTTTTGAAAGCCCTCCCGAGCGTCGGAATTCGGGCGACTGAAAAATTCAGAGGCCTTTGGAGTTTTTGTTTCCCACACCTCCAGAAGCCCCTTTCGCTAGGATGATGCACCAGATGGAGGGCGAGCGAAGATCTGCCACCGCGGACGGCAGCTCTTATCAGATGTGCCTCGCAGCAAGAAGGCCAACTCTGAACCCAAGGACCAAACCTCGCCTTCCACATGAGTTTATTTTGTTGGGTGCACCGAAGATTTCTTAAGTTTCCGCTTTCAAGTGCAGTCTCTCACTCCCTCCTTAAGGCTCCAATGTAGTCAAGGCAGAGGCTCCCAGCCTTGATGACCAAACCACGGTAGCCACCTTCTCGTTTCCTTGTCTTCAGATGTCGTACCCTTGCACCAGGGTTTTTGGAGCAATCCTCTTTGCTTTGATTTTAACATTGGATGTTTTGGAATGCTCTTATATATTTATCCTAATAGTATCATCCTGGTCGTTATTATTGTTGTTATTATTATCATCAGAGGGCTATGTGAAAATATCTTCCGATGGTATGTGCGTATGTGACTTGCCAATCTCTAGCTGCCAGGTGGTCGGTTCGAACATGGTGCCTCGGTTGCTTTCTTCTGGCTTGCCTTTGAACAGACCAAAACAGTGCCCAGTTTTTAGCCGTTCCCAAGTTGGGCCCCCTGTACATTGTGTTTGGCCATCTGCATATCTGGTTGCGTTTCATACTCAATTCTTGAATTTCTGGACCAGGTATCTTCAACCAAGAGGTCAAACAAAAGGTGAGTTTTGCCCCGGCTCAGGTCCCTTTGTGAGGTTGAGTCACCGACTTCCTCTCCCATGAACAGGCGAGGGGGCTGGAGCCGCATGTGATGGGCCGCTGGGACGGGCCTCTCGGTGTTGAGTCGGCTTTCTCAGGCCTTGAATCATGGGATGCCATCGGCCCCCGCCATCCTCTCCTTCAAAAGGCGAAAACTTTGCCGTTTGATCACAACGCTAAAGGCACTTGAGTTGCTGCATGTTATGCTTGGGAAGGAACAACAAGTTCGGACTCGACAGCCCCTGCCTTTTAAAAATATGTTTGTTTGGGAGTGCGTGGTGGCCCCTGGAGTGAACCATGTATGGCTTCATGTTCCCTTTGGTGCCGAAGAAATGGATTTGGGGACCCTCCGGAAGGTAGGGGAATTTTCTGACCTGTTGTGAACCTGTTGTTTCCGTGTAAGGCAAGGCCGCAGAAGCTAAAAGTTTCAGCAACCTCAGCAGGTCAGGTTTGGAAAAGGGCAACTTTCAAAGGGAACCGATGAAACACCTCCCTTGCTTTTGACCTGAAGTTTCATCCATTTGGTCCGTCCATGGCCCGCGTTTGGGTGCAGGACATGGGCATTCTGAATGTTCCATAAAAACCTGAAAAAGCTTGCTTGCGTTGCCAGATCGATTGCGAGTACAATTTTGAGCTTTGGTACCTACGGACCTACGAACAGTTTATGTTGCCTCCGGTGAGGTGGGCTTTCTGCCAGAGTCTGTCTCAACATAGGTGAGAGGACGTCGCCTTTTTTGTGTGTTAAAAAATGGGCACGGCTGCAACGTTGCATTTGTCATCAGATTGGAGGTGAAACCACGAGCGCCAAGGAAGTTAGAGGAAGATAGCAACGTCTATTTCAGTTAGGATTATTTGTGTGTGTTGTTTTTGAGATGCATTTTTGGAATTGGCTCAAGGACAAATCCCAAGCATCCTTCTCCATTCAAGATTGGTTCATCCTTCACCAGCTTCTTTCTTCATTGGCACAAACCAGGAGTTCACAGAAACCATCTTCCTTGGTTTTGGGATTTGCGGAAAGGATCCAATGAACAACTCACACCTGGAGTCTCCAGACTTGGACGACCGATTCATGAGCAGGCCCCTTTTGGGGCATGTCCAGTGGTGTGTGGTAGATGCCTATTATGCAACTCCACAGGAATTGGGTATGACTTTTCTCAGGATTCAGACCACTAAAATGGGTTGGGTGTTGTTGATGGTTTTTCTTCGAAACCACAAATCAATAAGAGGCTACAAATCATTTTTAAAGGGTCAGAAGGAGACTGCAGGTACTTTGCGTTTGTGCGCTGCCCTTTTCGGGTTCTGCCTCTTGAACTCCAAGGGCCGCCAAACATTTTTCACGGGTGTCGAATCCGATGAGGCAAGCCCGCTTTTTGTTTTGTGTGTGCCACTGGAAAAGATATGCGTGAGATGCTAGGGATGTGAGCGGATATGTCACTACTCCCTGAGTTCTTTAAACTTTTTGCGAAGACCATGCTAGTGGCAAGCAAACAGTCCAGACTCGTTGATGCCCGTCCACTCAGGAAGGGAGTCCAACTGGGACGGGTGTTCTCAAAGAAAAGGTGTGCGCCCTTTTTGAGGGTCAGCTGTACACATGTTCGATCCACACCGATGGTTCCCAGGGCAGTGACCTTTTAAATGTCCAGTTGTCCGTTCCTGGGCGTTTGTGAGCAAACACAAGTTGGAAAACAAGGGGCAGGCTGGTTCCAGGTTTCTTGTTCTAAATGTTCATCTTTGCAAGTTTCTTAAAACCCTTCAGTTTATCTACAACTTGTCTCGTTTCTTTTGGATTGGTGGCTCCCAGCCATCCCCGAAGCTGTTTAGACTTTTAATTTTAGTTTTTTGTGGTAGTTTTCATTTAACCCCTAAAAGTTAGACTTTTAGCGGGGGATCTGAGGGCAGCCCAGATAAATAAGAAGGTGTGCTTCCTCTGTTTGTTATTCTATGTCACATCTGGTCTGGCGAATTCCGTATGCCGTGTGCCCCATGGCACTATGGCACACCCCAAAAGCCCAAAGGGGCGGTCAGTTGCATGGATCCCACAAGTTTGTTGTGCTCATGTTTAACGTTTAGGCCCTCTCTCTCTCTCTCTCTGTCTTTCTATTTGCAGCGTTTTTTCTCCTTTGGGTTGTTTTCCTTTTTTTGGGGCTGCCCTTTTGGTTTGTGGTTTTAAAGGGAAACCAACAGGAAAGCACTATATATATATATGTTTGGAGGGGGGATCCAATTGCATCACGGCACAGATACTAGTTCACGCCAGTCCGATGAACAAAAGCCCCATGTCCCTTTCCCTGATCCCAGGAATCCCACTTCCCCATGGGGTAACCAGCGATTTTCCTAGTTGCTGGTTGCTAGATCAAGCCCAGATCCCATCAAAGAAGCATTTTGTGGGTCACCCTCCGATCTATTGTCCTTTTGTTTTTTTAGGGCCTCGGCTATTCGCTGGTCCCCCCCCATGGTTTGGAGCCCGGTGGTTTGGGATTTGAAACCCTTGGTAGAGGGTGAGCGGGAGACGGATGAACCCAAACCAATCCAAACCACCAGGTAGAGGGAAGCTGATATTAGGTAAATGGATCCACTGGCTTTGTTTTGAAGATCCGGACGTTATCCATGGGGAAGTTGCACCTGACTCCCAAATTGGGACCCTTCAAGGGGTAGATGACCCAATTCTTTGGTTGGACCCCCAGTTTTTGAGGGTGGAGACTCCAGCTAGTTATAAGATCAAGGAGCCCGTTTTTTCCTACGTTGCTGTTCCTCATGACTGAGTGTGTCTCATGAGACGTCGTTTTGGTTGGGCTCCAGCGGAAGAGCTTTAGAGAACTGGGGACGATTCAAAGACCGGCTTGAGCTCTTGAAGCTTGGGATACGCGCCATTCAAATGGGTATGACTTTTTTCATTAGGGACCCTTTTGGTGGACATCAGGCTTTTAGGTGCGCATTCATTTCCACCAGAACACTGTTGAGGCGTTTCCAACTCTTTTAATTCAGAGTCAAATCAGGCTCCAACTTTCATGTGTTTGCGTCTCCTCGGCAACTCGAATTGACCAAGCGTGCCTTGGCGCCATGAGGGTGGATGTTCACTTGCCCAGTGGAGATGGCTGCTCCTTTGAAGTCTCACCAGCGACGCTCGTCAGCGAGCTGAAGGCTGCAGCGCAGCAGCATTTCCAGCGCCGCTTGCAGCTCATGGCAGAAAACCGGCAGCTCAATTTGGCGGCCACTGTGAGTGAGGCCGGGTTGCAACATGGGGACGTGGTGACTGCGGTTGTGCAGCTTGGCAAACTGGCTGCCAATGAAAGGGCGTTCGCTTTTCAGGGCAAAGGGGACGAGCTGATGACGTGGGGTGACCCAGGACACGGCGGAGACAGCAGTCAGGTGCAAGATCAGCTGAGGAACGTTCGGCAAATCCAAATGACTAGCGCTGCTTTTGCTGCTATTCTTGAATCTGGGGCTGTTGTGACCTGGGGTGATCCTGACCAAGGCGGAGACAGCAGCCAGGTGCAGCAGCACCTGCGGAACGTCAAGTGCATCCAAGCAAATGGCAATGCTTTTGTTGCCATCCTTGAAAGTGGGGCTGTTGTGACCTGGGGCGATCCACGCTTTGGCGGAGACAGCAGCCAGGTGCAAGATCAGCTCAGGAACGTGCAGCACATCCAAGCAACTGGTAGTGCTTTTGCAGCCATTCTTGAAAGTGGGGCTGTTGTGACCTGGGGTCATCCAAACTGGGGCGGAGACAGCAGCCAGGTGCAGCAGCAGCTACGGAACGTCAAGTGCATCCAAGCAACTCTCAATGCCTTTGCTGCCATTCTTGAATCTGGGGCTGTTGTGACCTGGGGCAATCCACAAAATGGCGGAGACAGCAGCCAGGTCCAAGAGCAGCTGAGGAACGTCCAGCACATCCAAGCAACTGGCGGTGCTTTTGCTGCCATTCTTGAATCTGGGGCTGTGGTGACATGGGGTGATCCAGAATTTGGCGGAGACAGCAGCCAGGTGCAAGAGCAGCTCAGGAACGCCCAGCACATCCAAGCAACTGGCGGTGCTTTTGCAGCCATTGTTGAAAGTGGGGATGTTGTGACCTGGGGTTATGCAGAATATGGCGGAGACACCAGCCAGGTGCAAGATCAGCTGAGAAACATCCAGAGCATCCAAGCAGCTGCTGGGGGTGCTTTTGCAGCCATTATGGAATCTGGCGATGTCGTGACCTGGGGTGATCCAGCATATGGAGGAGACAGCAGCCCGGTACAAGAGCAGCTGAGGCACGTCCAGCGCATCCAAGCAACTGCCTGCGGTGCTTTTGCTGCTATTCTTGAATCTGGGGTTGTTGTGACCTGGGGTGGTGCACAATGCGGGGGAAACAGCCGCCAAGTTCAAGAGAAGCTGAGGAAGGTCCAACGCATCCAAGCCACTTCCAGTGCTTTTGCCGCCATTCTTGAATCTGGGGATGTTGTGACCTGGGGTGATCCAAAGCTTGGCGGGGACAGCAACCAGGTACTCTTGAGCTGCTGAGCTTGTGACACGGACGTCGCCATTTTTGTGTGTGAAAAGAAGGGCACGGCTGCAACAGTTGCATTTGTCATGAGTCATCAGTTTGGAGGTGAAACCACGAGCGCCAAGGAAGTTAGAGGAAGATAGCAACGTCTATTTCAGTTAGGATTATTTGTGTGTGTGTGTTGCTTTTTTGAGATGCATTTTTGGAATTGGCTCAAGGACAAATCCCAAGCATCCTTCTCCATTCAAGATTGGTTCATCCTTCACCAGCTTCTTTCTTCATTGGCACAAACCAGGAGTTCACAGAAACCATCTTCCTTGGTTTTGGGATTTGCGGAAAGGATCCAATGAACAACTCACACCTGGAGTCTCCAGACTTGGACGACCGATTCATGAGTAGGGCCCTTTTGGGGCATGTCCAGTGGTGTGTGGTAGATGCCTATTATGCAACTCCACAGGAATTGGGTATGACTTTTTTCGGGATTCAGACCACTAAAATGGGTTGGGTCTTCCTGGTGATTTTCCTTCGTAAACGCAAATAAGAGGCTGCCTGGAGTCTCCATGACCCTATAAAAATGCTTGATTTTGGGTACATACTGACCCCATTTTCAAAGCGTCAGAAGGAGACTCCAGGTACTTTGCGTTTGTGCGCTGCCCTTTTCGGGTTCTGCCTCTTGAACTCCAAGGGCCGCCAAACATTTTTCACGGGTGTCGAATCCGATGAGACGAGCTGGAAAGTCCGTGAACGGGACAGCTCCAAATCATCCTCAGTGCCCCAGGCGAATAGACCTTGTCACCTTTTGGTTTCTCTTTCTCAGTGGATCCCAGCAAACCCAGATAGTAGGTAACCAGCTATTGTCCTTTGCTTTCTAAATAACGATTCCCTTGAACAAACTCCTAGGGTGAAAACCTATAATATATATATATATATATATGTATGTGGTACCCCCCTGTGGACCCTGGTTTGGTGAGTTTGAGTCGTGTTTTGTTTTCCAATGTTCTTCCTTTTTTGCCTTGTTGATTGTGCAGCAAAATTGGGGGAGGGTCCATATTATGTGTATATAAATATGTTAGTAAATCAGAGGATGCATGCATCTAAAAGTATTGGGACAACAGGGGCAACACTGGATTTGTTTTAAGCGAAACAAAACAACATGTGGGATTCAATAATCTGAGAAAATTATTGTTGCGAATCTTGAATCTTGAACCCCTAAAATCAACACAAAGCAAATCCTGGTCTGATCCAATACTCCAGGTTTCCAATATATACTTCTGCAGCCAAGTATGCGCACCCGTTTGCAGTCACATGCTTTTAATCTGCAACCCTTCAAGTTCCCGCAATGACTGGATTCAAAGTGCGAGGACAAATTTCTGGGAAAAAGCGGTACTCTAATGTTGACCAATTCGAAGGGTTGGGGGTCTTTCAAACTTAATTATCTTCCTGTTGATTCCTAA